AGCAGCAGCAGCAGGAGGAGGCAGAGGGAGCAACAGAGTGTGCGCCTCAAACGAAGGGCTGGGGGGTGAACACATGGATGCTGCTTAGCATCCGATCCCCGTGCAGACCCATGGGCTGCGGTATGCGAACCCGCAGCGGATGACGAGCAAGGGGCGTGGGAGACGGTTTTGGGGGCTCTGGATAGCAGACTGCTGTACCCAGCAAGACGAGAACGAGGGCGGCAGAGTGGAAGAACGGCAGCGGGATGGAGTCGAAAGCGAGGCAGAGACGGAGAGGCAGAGACTAGCACGGGGGTGGCATCTGTCTGATGAGATGCGATGCGACAGCTAGCTGACAGGGGAGGACGCCTCCGGGGAGAACTAAGAACTAGAGGATTCGGGATCGAGGCGACGAGGGAAGAGAGAGATCTGAGCTTCGCCTGTGGCAGGGGTTGATGGGAGTGGCATGGGATGGGAACGGCGACAAAGTTGTTAGTAAGACAGCGGTTGTGTGTAGAAAGTGTGTAGAAAGTAGGCCCGTTGGTAGGACAAGCTACGTCGGAGCAGGGGTGACCGCTGCCAATGACGGTGGCCGTCCAGGACGGACAGTTCCCGACTCAACAGGATGGCAGGTAGCAGGTAACGGGACAGGAACTTGAGTCGAACCTGGCGGGCAGGGCAAGTTCAGGCCGTTCCGTATAGTTTGGGGGAGAAGATGGGTTGGCAGCAGCCTGGCGGCCTGGTGAGTAGCAGCGAAGTGGGAATTGGTGTTGGAGAGAGACGGCACAGAGGTGGAAATGGAAAAGTCGTCATGTCTGATGCGGCTCCTTTCGTCGCAGAATGGGGTCATGGAGGCTCCACATGGCCCCGGCGCGGCTTAGCGAGCCAATAAGGAGGTGGGGCGCCCAGGACATCAGGCAAATGGCGTTTCGCCCGAGGCGTCGATGAAGCGAAACGAGACACTGGACGACATTTTCGACCTCCTTAAGCGCGGTTGACAAGACCTTGGGTCTCTACCTTCGATACGTCGATACCTACCTTAGATGCCTTAGTACCTACAGAGTAAGGCAAGGTAAGGTTTGACCGTCTGAGCGGCGCCTCCTCCGTTGCAATCTCCCTCCTTCACAGCATTAGGAATAGCAATAGCAGCAGCCAGCGAGACACCCTTCAGCGCTCATGACAGCCTGTCAGCCCCCCCTGCTTAGGGCGTTGAGACGGATGGCACGCTGTAGTTTTTGGCTCCGTCGACAGCCAACTTTAACCTCAGTGCCCACCCCAACGGTGCGGATGACCTTAATTCCTGAGTCGCGAATTATGGTTAGCACCTCATGCTAAGCCTTGAGGGATCGCCCATGATTTGCTTCCGGACACCGGCTGCCCTTCAGTCTGGATTGACGCCCAGACGAGTGACGCGCACGCTACAAACGTTGGCTGCCGTCCGTCCAGCGCCTGCACGGTACCACGGCATCACGGCGCCAGCAATCCGTTCTGAGGAACACGCACGCACACCAGGCATCGTGATGAACGCGATGGGTTTTTCTGATTGCCGTCGCCAGTTCGGCGATCTTCCTTCGAGCCGCGCTGTTTCTCGTTTTCGAGTTCGTCCGACTCCCCCTTTCTTTTCCGTGGCTCGGTTTTCTGTGGTGCTTTGCGGGCACCCGCGACACGCAGCGGTCTCAGTCTTGGCCGGAGAGGAGCGGCAAATGGATGATTGGCAGCGGAACGGTCTGAACGGTTCGGGGGTCCTCAACGGGGCGAGACACACATAATGTGGTACAATGTTAGTGCGACGGCCCGTCAGTCGCACCAAGACGATAACAGCCGCTGTCTCGTCCTGCCCTGCCCTGCCCGACTGCATTACCATCGAAGCGCCGGCCTAAATCCGGGACGGCGGCTTCAGCAAGCTGGACTGGACTGGACTGGACGGGATCGCTGTAACCAGGCGCATCGCATCGCATCGTACCGCATATCAGCATGGCATCATAGGTGCCTGCCAAATCCATTTCAAATCTCTACCGCATTTTGTTCCACCCAAAAGCTTGCTCCTAAGGGCTCCTCCCCACCGTGGCACTCGAGGTATCGTGTGCCTCGCTTGCATCGTGAGCGAGTGCCTCGTATTGCTTGGCGAGGAGGGCACGGGTGGGCGGCTCCTCGGCGCCGGTCGTGGGGGGCCGCGGAGTTGACTCGCCGGTTGACGGCAGCAGCAACGACGCCGCGGTGTTCTTCTTGCTGTGTTGGGTCGGAATGTGGAGTTTCGAGGAGGAGGCGGCACAGAAGCAAACAGCAAAAGTGCCCGCAAGGAGGCCAGCATGGGGATGCGAGAGAAGCGAGGACGAGGGCTGCGATGCGATGCCCTGCGCGCGCAACGGTGATGGCATCAAACATCCAATAAACCTAATCTTCCACTCGGCAACTTCGGATGACGGCCAGGCCCCTGGGACGAGTGGCTGCGGCGCCCCTCTGTCTGACGGTTAGAGAAAAGAGGGCGAGCCACCCTCACCAGAAGACGAGGCACGCAAATGCAGGGAATGCGCTTTTTGGTGTGGTAGGTGTTGGTGTCAGGAAGGAGACGTGCCTCCTCGTGCTCCTCTGGGCTTCTCCTCTGCCAAAACGGTGAGAAGGAGCTGTGCACTGAAAGCTGCCCGCGTCGAGAAGGAGGGCAGGAGGGCGGTACGTACCCCTGTGCCTTATCTCCCATCTCGCTCAGTCCCTACCACCAGCACTCGGTACCTGCAGCGGCCCCGTCGCGGAGATCCCAAGAACCCACAACGGCCGTCCAAATGAGGAATGGTCAGGTTCACCCCTTCCCTTAACACACTTTTAAGGTTGCCTCTAGCATCCCGTCCGCTAAGACCCGCCCCGCCTTTTCAACCCTGGCACGCCTGGGAAGCTCACACTCGACGTGGGACCGGCAGGGGCAAGACGTGGAGTCCCTGGCCATCGGCGCTGCTTCACCCCGTGTCTCCCATCTACCCTCCCGCCGCTCTTCCATGGCTGCCCATGCCGCCTTTGCCATTCTTCCTCTGTTCGTCTCTCTCGAACGGCCTGCCTGTCAATCCGTCGCTGACTGGACGACGCCTCCTCAGTCGGGCTGCGATTGGACCGTCGGCGTCGCCCTGCATGAGCCATCCGAGAAAAGTCAATCTGATCTTCCTCATGGCCAACCCCTGGACGACAAGATGCTTATCCATGGGATGACGGTTTCGATTTGCATTTCGTCTGTTATTTTGCAGTGTCAACACGTCGTATACGACTCGACAAGTTGCCCATTTTGGCGCACTCGAGGTCTATTCTGGATTCTGGGCTGTCGGGCAATTTTTAAACGTTCCTGAGTTTAATGCTATCGATCGCCCACACCCAATTTACGAGCAATCTAAACTGACAGATAGCCTTGCCATAGCGCCAACGCTTTTTCCGTTTCGGTGGATGGCACGGAAGTCCGCCAACACCCATACTAGCACGTTTGGCTCGCCTGCCGTCATCGGCGTGGGCTGCTGGAGAACCGGCATGGGGGACGGGCAGTCTTTCTGGCCGATGGCAATTCTGTGCCGCTCACGATATCAATACGAGCCGTGTTTTCCTCCTCCTCCTTCCCAAACAAACGGGTCATCGGCTCGCTTGAGGTCATTCGTCCCCAAAAGATCTCCTCGCGAAACCATAAAATTTGCACCAACACGTCCAGCACACCAAGCCCTCGGCACACGGCAAGCTGGTGCCCCCCCATCTTGGTCTCATCATCAGCCCCTCGAGATGCAGGAACAATCAATTAAAGGGCTGGTCTATCAAGTGAATCCTTCCTTCGCCAGTGGCCCACAGATCCGGTTTGCCTGCTCGATGCGACTCCGGACGGCAACCCCTGCACAGACAAGCGAGAAAAAGTCGAGAGAGAGGCCCACCGCACCTCCGCCAAGGGGGCGCACCATTCTGCGACACGAGGCTGAGTTTGAAGCCTGTGCCAAAAAACCAATGGTGAAACAGGTTCACCTCAACTTTCTTGCCCGTCTTGTCACTCGTGTCAACCGGTCCAACCTCGCTTCCGCCACACTTCCCGTCGAACCTCGCTGCAGGCATTCTCCTCGAACCCGGGCCGCATGCCTGCCTTTCATCCCAGCTCGGGACGACCATGTTGAAACTCGACGACCGTCGGAAGAGGCAAACACCACCCTCGCCAAAGGAAGGAACAAAGCATGGACCGCCCGTCGCCGCAATATTGCGCTGAGAGATGCGCAGAAGCCGTGCCAATCCCGTCCAGCAATCCTGCCATGCGCTTCCAACGGCATCCAATCCCCTTTGCGCCTCTTGCTGGGACTCGGACCCTCGGCAAGGGCATCGAGAACGATGGCAGCCCTCCCTCCACCTTGCCAGACGTCACCTATCATCCCAAATGCCACGCCCCGCCGCTGTCACGGCTGGACTTGAAAGGTGACGCTCCAAGGACAGATGGCGGATTCCAAATCCCCCCGCCCAGGACGTCGACATCACGCCACTTTCCCTAGGCCAGGAAACGTTTGCCGAGTGTCGCTCTGGGAAACATTCTTCCCTTGCTAATCAAACCTGCGCCGTCATCAGAGAGACATTCTGCCGCTGTTGGGCCGTTGAACGCCCGGCCAAGGCTACAACGCCCCCGGCGTGATCACCTTCTTCCGCAACGCCGGTCCGTCAAGCACTCTCCGGGTCCGTGAGCTGCCGATCCAGAGGCTTCGGTACCGATCAGACTTATCAAAGGTCACGTTGGCAAAGCTGTCAAAAGCCCTTGGCAAGCCACCCATCGGCCATCGTCAGATGGCCCGCATTGTGGTCGGCCTCAGCCCGATGCTGCACCTGAGCGGAAATACCATCGCGCGGAGATAAGCAGAATTCAGATTACGCAGTATGAGCCCCCAATCACAGTCGGCGAGGCAAGCCAAGCTTTCGCTGCCTCAAAACACGTTTTGCCCTGCGGGAGAAACGAGGGGATCTACTTGTAAGGAAACTGGAACGGGGGTCATAATCGACGGAACATGCTTGGCGTCTCATCTCCATCACAATTCCTCCGAGCCCATGTCGGCGCCGCCCACATCGGTGTTGCCGTCCTTGTTACCCTCGGCGCTGTCCATCTTCGTCGTCCCCGTCGTCGCCTGCGTATACGCTGCTGCAATAAGGTCGAGCCAAGCCGCCATTCGCACGCCTGCCTTGGCGACCTGGAGCTCGATGACTGGCGCCGCCTTCTGGAAGTATTCACCCCCGAGCTCCTGTCCGGCGATCGCACGCGGGCCTTCGGGGAACACTTTCAAGCTTAAGTCAGTTTAAACGTCACCACGCGGGTTGTGGGGAGCCGTCCTCGGGCGATCGACATACCGTGGGTGCAGACGAATGCGTTTCCCTCTCCTGCCCACGCAAGGGCAGTCGCCTTGACGTCGTTGAAGTCGAGCGTCTTCAGCCAATCCGCCTTTTGCGCGGCGAACTTGCCCGTCTTGATCTCATCCGCGAGCTCGTCCGCCCAGCGTTTCGCGTTGTCGTACGGACGACGACGAGCGCCACCGATCAGTTTCTCAGCGATGGAGCTATCCCATACGTGGTGCAGGTTGAAGTCGGTGCCATACCACTTCACGTGGATTCCGTTGCCCCCTCGAGCGACGTCTTCGTTGTGAAGTGGCTGGTGGATATCGCCGATGAAGTGGACGACGAAGCGAGCCGCTTGATTGCGCTCCCAACCGCTGAGCTTCGTATCCAGCGACCTGGTGGTGTAGTTTGCTAACGCAGTGACAACGCAGCCCTCCGCCTTGCAGTCCCTTTCAAAGTCGATGCCGCAATAGTCAGGCGGGCTGTCGTGGGCATCGATGAAGTGGAAGGGACCCGTGAAATGACCCCATCTGGTGTAGCGAATGGTATCGGCCCACGTTGCCACACCTGCCAGGTAATGTTCGGTGTCGTTCCGCAAGAGGTCCTGGAAGAAGGTCTCTGTGGTGTTGGCAACGAAGTGGCTTGCGATGTATGCGGTTGTGATGTGGCCCAAGCCTGCAGCGATGACGGTCAGCGGCAGTGACAACACTGGCGATACCGGAGACCAGCGCCTCCACCGGAGACGACTCCGGGGACGGCAGACGGGGCTGGGCGAAAGAGACACTTACTTCCCCACGCCACAGCACCAGGCAGGGACGCGCCAAGCAGCGCAACGGTGCTAGACAGCTTCATGGCTGCGTACAACGAAATCACGGGTGGTATCGGGGTCGGATTCGGTGGCACAGTGCAAGCGACAAGTCCAAACTATCGCGAGATTGAGTACGCAAGATACGCTAGAAAACAAGACAGCAAGCGACGGAGACCTTTCAACCAAATACACCGTCCAAAGACAAGGCCGGACGACGCGAGCTTAAATGGCGACGCGTGGTCGGGTCACCAGCGCATCTGCTCTGCATCCCCCACGTCAACAGGCCGCAGTGCAGGCCGGCAAGTTGGCCGAGGAACGGACCTCACCCAAGCATCTGCAGCACGCCTACCCACCATCAAGACTGCATCAGCCACAGCGAATCATGGCGGTGCAGGTGAGGGCAGCCACGTGCCCCTGATCTGGCATCGGAAAAAGATGACGCCCGACGGATGTCCGGTGACCAACGAGTGGTGCCATTGAATGCAAGTTCCTCTGACAGTCTTCGATTGGTCACCGCCATCAGCAGGATCAACGGGCTTTTAAACTTCGGATGATGGGCGCCCATCGCATATGCATCAAGACAGCCAATCTGTGCAAATCTGGGCTGAGCTAGCCGGTTCATCTCGATGCTGATGCAAGGCAACAAGTAAGCTTGCCTACGCAGTAATGCTCTTTTCAGTGAGGCTTCTTCATCTCAGCTCTGGCTTGCAGCTCTCAGCTGCGATGACCAAATAACCTCGTCTCATTGGCGTGCTGAGCTCAGCTTCTTCCCACAGCACCCACATCAGAGAAAAAGTGGCGGTAAGCCCGCCTTTCCATCAGGTTTTGCGGGAGACTGGAGTCATGCCACACCGCCGTGACCCCCACTAATTTCCCTCTTGAGCGTGTCGCCAAGGTTTTTTCAACCCATTGGCTATGTCATGCAGGGTCCCGTCTCTTATCGCCGCGCTTGACCGCAACCGATAGCAAGATAACGGCGAGCAAGGTGGATGGTTGGACGACGGGTGGCTATCCGTAGCCGGCCTATCAATTCCTGCTGCGTGACTCTGCTTCCAACCATCCCACTTGATCTTCCCAACCCACCTGACCACGGCCAGACACACGACAAAAGGCGGCTCTGCTTCTTCCTCTCCCCTTGCTTCAGCAGACGTTACGCCAGTCCTGCACTGTTCAATCGCGTCTTCGGAGGAAATCAGACACCATGGCTTCATTCGCCGTTACGGCCTACGCCGCCTTATCGCAGACACCCAAAGTTGAAGATGCGTTATCCGGCATCTTTGGCAGCATCAGCTTGACCGCCTGGATCTGCCTTCTGGTGCGTCTTTCTGGAGAGTCTCCGAAGCACGTGAGCATCATTTTCGAATTGCCAATTTGCTGACGTTGTGAATAGCTTCCCCAGCTTATCGCCAACTACAAGGCGCAAAGCGCAGATGGCCTCTCCATGGCCTTCCTCATCGTCTGGCTCCTCGGTGACGTGACGAACCTGCTAGGTAAGAAGAACACGACCCCGCGATACTTTTGACGCCTCCGAAACACCACGCGCCCCAGTTCTCTGTCTGCCAAAGTCGTCGTTACGACCACCAACAACACCGAAAATTTCTCCCACTAAGAGAAGCACGCACTGACTCGAAAAACCTCCGAACAGGCGCCCTCTTCACCCACCTCGCGCCCACAGCAGTCGCCCTCGCCTCCTACTTCTGCGTCGCCGACCTCGTTCTCATCTCGCAATGCGTCTACTACAACACCAAGAACGCCCGCCGCGCCTCCCGCCGCCGCTCCTCCGCCCACGTCACTGCGACCGGCGCGGAGCCCACCGAAGACGAGCCGCTCCTCGCGCGCCGACGCTCCTCCTCCGCGGGCCTGCCCGGCTCCCACCGCCGCCACGCCGTGCACAACGAGAGCTCACTCGACCCCCTCCGCAAGATGGTCACCGGCGAGGACGAGACCCCCGACAGCAACCCGTGGCTGCACAACACGCTGAGCATCTTCGCCGTGTACCTCGTCGGCGCGTTGGGCTGGTTCGTCAGCTACAAGGCCGGCGCGTGGAACTCGCCTGACATTGACGTCGGCGCGCCCGAGGAGGTTAAGGGCACCATGGAGAAGGTCGGCTTGTTTCTGGGATACGTCTCCGCCGTGTGCTACCTGTGCGCGCGCATCCCGCAGATCATCAAGAACTGGCAGGAGAAGTCTTGCGAAGGTACGTCTCTTTGGGTATCTGCTTTTCGAAAGTGCAACGCGTGCTAACGCAGTATTGAACAGGTCTCGCGCTGCTCTTCTTCCTCCTCTCCCTCACCGGAAACTTCACCTACGGCGCCAGCCTGCTCGCCTTCAAGCAGGACAAGGACTACCTCCTCAACGCGCTCCCCTGGCTCCTGGGGTCGTTCGGCACCATCGCCGAAGACTGCATCATCTTTGTGCAGTTCCACCTCTACTCGGGGCGCCGCGAGGCCAAGGACGGAGACCAGGCGTGATTGTGGAATGCATACGCAAGTTGTCACGGAAACCTGCATGTGCGCGCTTGCGAGGCCACGCCAATATGCATCTTGTCTCGGTCGGATCTAGAGACATGATTCATCTTGCATTGGCCGGCAGCAGCTGAAGAATGTCGTGGATTTTTAATTTTTGCATGCTTGGGAGGCTCGGGTGGTGGGGGTGTTTGTACCAATTACGACTTTGCTGCATTTCCGGCGTTATGGGTTTGATGGTTTTTAATGATGGGTCACCTCAGGTGTCTGCATTTTCGGTCACAATGGTCTTGTCGCCTCTGACCATGAAGCATAGCTGCATATATAATGAATGCCGAATTTACGCTCTGATTTCTCTCAAGATCTCTTTTTAGTGCGTCAGATATCGAGTGAAAAGTTCTTGCGATGATTACCGACTATTGAACAGAATCTGATTTACTCAATTCGATGACCTACTATCTCAGTTGTGCTGGCTGAGAGACCTTGGGGGCAGGTGGGGCGTGTCGCGTGCCGCGCATCATGGGTCACGTGAGCAATGTCGAAGAGCAACAAGATCGCTCTTTTGATAACGTTAGGCGAGTAAGAATGTGAATCCGAGCCTTCGACTGGTTCAATACGGTTTTATGAACTATTCCAAGAGGTTTGGAGGTGATTGGAGGGTATTGGGGGGGTTCTAGGTAAACCATTATCATCGTCTTCTTTTGCTGTGAGTTTTGACATAAAAACTGTACAAAAAACACGCAACGAAATTGGCAAATGTCGCCACTACTGGTAGGTGATTACGAAAAACACCATATTGGTAGAGAAATGGCATTTGATTCACCATATAACTTTATTTCATCACAGAGAGTTGGTTATGCGGCCGGAACCGAGTCATCTATCACGTCGTCGCGTGAGGAACACCTGGATCTCCTCGGAGCGAGCTGCGTAGCGTGCCGCGCTCCCGACGGACACTTCGACCGATTAAACATTCAAGTTACGACGGAGATGCATGGGGGATGGAACTTAAATCTCGCGAGCACGTTTTCGGTTCTTTGTAGATGCTGTCGTCGCGGGCTGCCGGTCCCGACGGAGATGCTGAAAGGTGTAGCTAACGTGCGTATGCACATGCATATGCACACGTGTAAGAGGACAAACTCAATCTCATCAAGTCTTATCAGTAGTCTGGAGTGTTGCTGTGAGCTGCGCCCCTGAGGGCTGGTCAGTTGTAGTCAACGACGCGACGCGATGAGATGGAGGGATGGAGAGAGGGAGAGAGTCAGGCGCGGAAAGTTAAGCGGGATCTTATCTCTGGACATGAGTCGGTTGATGGGCTGCTTGGATGATGCTGGAGGGGAGGAAGGTGAGGGTGAGGTTTACCTCGTGCTCGGGTCCCGAGGGGGAGTGGTGATGGCGGTTATCCCTGTTGCGGGGGAGGGGGAGGGAGAGGGGGATGGGGAGGATGTGGTTTGGTAAGTGCATTGAGAATGCCATGTCGCGTGAGATGTCATTTGGTAATGGGGAGAGGATGCAGGTTTCATGGAACGGCGGGCATGTCATTTAGGCTCTGGTTGGTGGTCATGAGGGACTGAGACAGCTCCCAGGCTGTGACTTTGAGAGGCTTCGGACTTGTAAGGCGAGATGGGGCCTCTCGGGTTATTTGAACGAGCTGCCCGCTATTCAGAACGGCCATAGGTATGATATTGGTGTTAAAAGCAGTGGTGGGGATGAGCAAGTGAACGTTGGTCTTTGGGATAGGTCACGATGTCTGAGGGAGCTGTGATAGAACGTAGAAGCCGCGAAGTAAGATCCGGGATAACACACGGGGAACTCCCACGAGGTCTACTGTAATTGGAAGCTCCTCCGTAAACGTCTCTGCAACTAATTGCAATCCATAGACGTTGCTTTATTGGTCGTGTAACGCCTTGCCGCAATTGAGGGGAAACCGTTCAGTCGGCGGGAGAGGCCGAAGCGAGACCGTAAAGATCCAGTGGAATGCCCCACTATAGACACTCATGCGCCGATAACGACCCACCCTTCGGATCCGATCGGGCACAATAGGTGGAGACAATCAGCGCCGATGTACCGAGCCGTCACTGACGGCTGGAGAATAGACCAGATAGTTATGAGAGTATAAGTCTGCCTTTATGTTCCAGACAGGCTGCGGCAACCTGGTCGCGAAGACTTCAATGCTGATTGTTACACTAAACCACTCCACATTAGATAGCCTCAATCCAATAGGTTTCTGTTTTCTGCTGACAGCAACTGTCAGTTCATTCTGCCAGGTCTCAGAATAACCCATGCATGACTATTGATGCAGGCTGCAGTTCAGGCTCTAGTCAGGCTGCGTTGGGCTACGTAAGCCGACATTCCCTCCATGCCCGAGAGATCTCCAAATTTCTCGACTTTGTCATTTCTTCTAACAGAAGGTGTCTTTGATGTGTGTTGTGAGTTAAATTGGCTTGTTTATCTGGATCAACAGCCAGAAATGAAGTGGCTTTCCTCTAGATTTCGAAATGCGGACCGAAATCGCCCCCAAAAACCACCATCAGGACTTCCCGAGCCGCTACCCGATCAGTTTCCATCAGGCATCAAATTGCTCCACAGCCCGGATGGTGATGTTCTGGTTGAGTATGCTTGCTAGAAGTGATCAGAAGCTCATGCGAACAACCTACTGATAATGTGTCTCCAGCATTGTCTTCGTTCATGGCCTGACAGGCAGCAGGGAAAAGAACTGGACTGCCCACGGCGCGACTGAACCGTGGCCGAAGATGCTTCTGCCTGCCGAAATACCCGATGCGCGCATACTCACATTTGGATACGACGCAGACGTTGTGAATATGAAAGGTGTCGTGTCAACGAACCGCATCGCCAATCATTCCTGGAAATTGTTAACGGATCTTGCTCGCGTCCGCGAGAATGACGAGACGGTTCGTCTGTGCCAAGCCTTAGACGCGTAAGACCATCACCGCTGTTAAAAACACGCAGAACAACCGACCCATCATATTTGTCTGTCATAGTCTAGGTGGGCTTGTATGTGAAGATGTAAGTACGCAGCCCTTACAAAGAGCGGAAGACCGTTCTGAGCTCTCTCGCGGCTACAGGCTCTCGTGACTTCTAGATACCGACCAAACGGGCACCTCCAAGCCATAGTCAACTCCACCAGGGGAATTGCATTCCTTGGAACTCCCCACCATGGGGCAGGCCTCGCAATATGGGCTGATCACTTTCTCAAGTGGATTAGCATATTCAAACAAACTAACAAGAGTACTGTGAAGACTTTGCGACGTGATTCGGAAGTTCTTGCCAGGATTCAGGACAGTTTCCATACAATAATTCAGTCTCGCAATAGGGACACAAATACTTCCATAGAAATCACGTGTTTCTTTGAGGAACTCCCGATACCGGGAGTAGGTCTGGTTATTACCCCCGAGACACCGTATGATACTCGTCTAGAACTGCGCTGAATCTATCCTAGGTTGTACCACAAGATTCCGCAGTCATACCTGGATATATTCCCATTGGAATACATAGCAATCATCAAGATATGGCGAGATTTGATAATGGTGATGACTCCGGCTTCAAATCGGTCTGTGCCGAACTTCAGCGATGGATGAAAGGGCTTAGATCGCGAAGAAATGAGGCTGCACCAGCGACTCTATCTCACAGACCGAATATGATGACAGAATTGAGTCATGTGGAATTGCAAGCTGGAAGAGGGGCGCATTGTATGTTATGAATTGATTCACGGAGATCGTGCAGATCCAACTGATCCAATGCATACAGTCATGGTGCGTGGTCCCAAGAACTGCAACTTTGTAGGCCGTTCGGAGATCTTAGATCGTTTGAAAGAAGAGTTCGGCCATGGAGCGAGATGTAAGGTGTTTGGGGGTCGATCACGAGCTTGCCTGTACGGTTTGGGTGGCGTTGGGTCAGTAACAATGATCAATTCAACGCGAAGAGAATTACTCGGCTAACATGATCAAAGAAAGACACAGATTGCACTCCAATATGTGTACTGGCTTCATGAAACACGTCCAGACTTCTCGATATTCTGGGTACATGCCAGTAGTGAAGCTCGCTTTCGACAATCTTTCGAAGACATCGCCGAAGAATGCGACATTCCTGGGCGACACGCCCCGTCCGTAAACGTTTTATCGCTAGTCCAGACATGGCTTCGGCAGCAATTACGACACCCGTGGCTCTTGGTTCTAGATAATGCAGATGACGAATTTCTGTTCTATCCAAAAAGTCCATCTTCGGCTGGAAGTTTTGCTACCAAGTATGAGAAGGGCAACGGCAAGCAGGGGCTCGGCCACTTCATACCAGAGTGTGGCCAAGGTTGCGTTTTAGTAACCACCCGCAACAAACAAGCTGGTCTGGACTTGGTCTTCGGTCAGCCTATCGTTGAAGTGGAAAGAATGGATGACGAAGAATCTGCTCGGATGATCAGCGCCATGACTGGAGCCAAAGACTTACTATTTTCCAAGTCTTCAACATTGTCCAATCGTCTGGAAAACCTTCCATTGGCGCTGGCACAGGCGTCTGCCTTTATCTCAAGAAACAGCATCACGGTTGACAGATACCTAGAGCTTCTAGATAAGAGCGACCGCAACTTTGTGAGCTTGCTCTGTCAGGATTTCACGGCTGTAGGAAGGGATTCTGAAATTCCACCAGCTGTTATGCTGACTTGGGTCGTGTCTTTTGAGCAAATTGACTTGCAGTACCCACTTGCGAGTGAATTGCTCTCACTCATGGCTTTCTTCGATTGCCAGACAGTTCCCAAATCGATTTTACTAGTAAGCGTGCACACGGATTACTGCATCATTTGCGGAGCATAGTGAAAATTCAAGCAGCGCAAAGCATTACTGAGAAAACAGAGGAAAAGCATCAAGAATCGGCAGATTGGTATCCAAGTCTCAAATCTGGTACTTCGGAGACGGCATCAAATTCCAAGTCTGGAGATATATCTGAAAATCTTGCTTCGGAAGAACTTCATAATCGAGAGGAAGCCGACTCTGTGGAAATCGAAAAGGCGCTAGGGGTTCTAAAGGCATTTTAGTTCATCGGAGAAACGAACGATCATCATTTCGACATGCATCGACTCGTCCAGCTAGCTACCAGGAAGTGGCTGGTCGGGAAAGGATGCAGCGGAGCTTTTGCAAGTAAAGCTCTTGGTACCATTTCCCGAATCTTCCCTGGAACAACATATGAAAATGCGGAGATCTGCAAGAAGCTTCTTCCACACGCGCACGCGGTATTGAGCAACCAGTTTGATGAGAATTATCAGAATGCTTTGTCGTTGGCAATGCTTCTGTCCAACTTGTCAACATTCTTTCTCAATACAGGCCAGATTAACTTTGCGGTCAAAGCATCACGGCGAGCCTTGGTTTCAACAAAGAAAAGTCTAGGAGATACGCATCCTGTACTGCTTAAAGTGATGAGGCGACTGGCAGAGGCGCTGAGTGCCCAGGGATGCCAAGCCCAATCAGGAGAGATGCTGCGAAATGTAGCAGCTCTTCAGCTCGAAGTCTATCCAGGTGACCATCCCGAGATTCTTCACTCTATTCGAATGCTGGCAAAAGAGTATCGTTCAACGAGGCGATTCGAAGAGGCCAAGGTCTTGTTGGACTCAGCCCTGAGACAATGTAACAGCAACAAGCACCAGAAGACCTCAACGATAAAGATCAAGCTCATGCTAGAAATTGGGATGCACCTGATGAGAACGGACCAACTGTGTAAAGCAGAAGAACACTTGATTCAAACCGAAGCCGAGATCAAAAGGACATTCGGCCCGGAGGGTCCTTTGGCACTGCAAAACATCTGGCTGCTTTGCCAGGTAATGAGGCGACAAGGACAAGCCCAGAAAGCTGAAACCACTTGCCGACAGACTCTCGAGAATCGCAACATCTCATCAGATAACGCAAAGATACACTTAGTTGCCATTCTCAGTGTATTAGGTCTGGCTCTTCATGACCAAGGCAAATATGATGCAGCTGGAGATACTCACATCGAGGTGCTTGAAATTGCTACGAGTACTTATGGAAGAAATCATCCTGCGATGCTGAATTTCATGAATGCCTTGGTTATGACACGGGGAGCCCAGAACCGCCTGGGTGAGGCTGAGGCATTGAAATCAGAAGTGCTCGAACTATCTGCAACGCTGTTTGAGTCTTCCCATCCGACGGTTCTTCGAGATATGCATCATCTTACTCTTCTGAGAAGAAAGATGGGCCAACACGATCGCGCAGGGCAGTTGGACGCGGTTGCAAATCAGAGACACATACAGCCCTCCAAGTCCGATGAACTCGAAAGTATTTGTGATGAGACGATGGAGGAAGTAGCAGATACGGAATGTGAAGGGAATCTACAGGTTAGTTCTGGAATGCATGTTGATTATGCCACAGAGGACATCACCCCAGTGTGGCATTCATTCATCACAACAGCAGCACCGCAGTCTGGAGTTGATCTTATTAGTGAGGTAACTGGTCTTGCAACTCTCAGGACGTCAATGGCTTCGTGATTGTGTCCATAGAGTGGTGTATACATTTTGCGTAGCATAGTCGTAGTCAAAAAGGCAGATAGTCATGTGCGACTGATGGATATAGCCGGCATCATATTGCTTTCGTGTATCGTATTTATTGAACTACAAAACAAAAGACAGAGATGCGCGCTAGAAATGTCAGCTGGCCTGGCTGAAGTCATGCGTTGCCTGTGACGTTCTATTCCAGCCCAAGCTGAGTAGTTCCGAAGGTGACGCTTCCCACACAACGAAGTCTCAGGAAGAATTAAGCCAGATTGCTTGCATGAAGCTCACGCGCGACGACCAAAAAGGCTTAGAGACTGTGTTCCTGGCAGCTGAAATGACACAACGCACCCTCAGGGGTTTGAATCCACCGCAAGCAGGCTGCGAGATCGCTTAATTCTCTTCCAATCAGACCACCAAACCAACCCATGTCGCCGCCAATATTTCCAGCTTCTTGCAGACAATCGTTCCATTATTGGTGAATGTCCCGCTATCGTAAATGCCGGTTGCCGCCCTACCTCCTAGCCAAGATGCGCTGATCAGGCTGCAGCAATTGTGCCATAAGTTTTCTCGATTCCCCAACGGCTGCACTCCCGAGCTGTTTGGTTTCTTCAGATTGAATATTTGCCATATTTGCCATATTTGCCAACCTTTGCATGGAATACTCTTCCAACAGCATCGTCAGCCAGACACACACACACTGCAGCAATGACGGATACTTCGGCCAAGAAAAGAAAGAACGACGAAGAGGACGACCAACGCGGCCATCCAAAGAACCGGCGAGTTGAAGCTACGCATACCCATCGCTCATACACTGTCGGTTGGGTATGTGCGCTTCCAAAGGAGCAGACCGCAGCGGTAGCGATGCTTGACGAGGAGCATCCTTCTCTTCCGAACCCGTCTGGAGACCCAAATGCATACACCCTCGGATCCATCGGGGGCCATAATGTTGTCGTTGCATGCTTGCCCATGGGAAAAATTGGTACCGTGTCGGCTGCAACAGTTGCAACCCACATGGTGCAGACTTTTCCGTCCATGAAGTTTGGTTTGATGGTTGGCATCGGTGGAGGTGTCCCATACAAAGAGAATGATGTTCGTCTGGGAGACGTAGTGATCAGCAGTCCATCCGGGCAATTCCCTGGAGTTGTCCAATGGGATATGGGAAAGACTAAGGAAGGGGGAAAGTTCGAACGAACGGGATCCCTGAACAACCCGCCAGCATCCCTTCTTTCGGCTCTTTCAAAGATCAAGACTCGGCATTCCATGAAAGAACCTAGGATTCAAGAGTTTCTTGATGAAATGGCAACCAGATGGCCAATGTTGGCGGCGCAATACTTGAAGTCTGAGGAAATGGTCGATGTCTTGTTCAAGTCATCTTACGGCCACGAAGAAAAACCTGTCGATACCGAGTCGGGCTCCGACGATAGCTCTGATGAGGACGATGAGGAATGCCAGTATTGCGACAAGAGCAAGGTTAAGTCTCGCAAACCCGCCTCCAGAGGTCTCAAAGTTCATTACGGGCTTATCGCATCGGGAAACCAGGTCATAAAGGACGCCAAGTTTCGGGACGCAATGAACAAGGGCCTTGGGGGTCAATTATTGTGTGTCGAGATGGAGGCGGCTGGCCTGATGACCAACTTTCCGTGTCTGGTCATTCGAGGTATCTGTGACTATGCCGACAGCCACAAGAACAAGGTGTGGCAGGAGCACGCTGCCGCTGTCGCCGCTGCATATGCGAAGGAGTTGCTTCTAGACCATGTGCAACCGGCCGAGGTTGAAAGAGAACGCAGTGCTCGGGAGCAGCTATCAGCTCAGCTAACAGAGGGTTAGTCTCGGATCATTCTTTCCTGTCCATAGCTCATGTAATCTAAACCTAACTCCGATCTTAGTTGAAAACGCAGTCACTGCAGTCGGTGAAGATGTCAAACAGGTCCATGTCAAGTTAACTACGGCGGAAGACAAGAAACTTTTCAAAGACATTTTGGAGTGGCTCAGTCCAATCAACTACGGCTCCATGCAAAGTGACCATTTCAAAATGAGGCACGAGGGAACGGGTCAGTGGTTTTTGAGCTCGCCTCAATACCAAGAGTGGAACGAATCAACCGGCAAGACGCTATATTGTCCTGGCATACCCGGCGCCGGCAAAACGATTCTCACATCTATCGTCATCAACGACCTCGTCTCGAAAGCTGAAAGCAATACAGAAGTTGGGATAGCTTATGTGTATTGCAGCTTTCAGAGAGCGACTGAACAAAACATCGAGCACATGTTGTCAAGCCTATTGAAGCAGCTAGCTGAGAGAGCACCAGATCCGTCGGAAAGCCTGCGCAGCCTCTTTGAAAAACACAAACACTGGCAGACCAGACCCTCCGTTGCGGAGCTCTCAAAGACACTGGAGTTGGTATGCAAGACGTTCGCAAGAGTCTACATTCTTATTGATGCTCTTGACGAGTGCCAAGCCGTTGGTTGCCGATCATCACTACTGAAGACTCTATTCAAACAGAGAACAGGGACAGGAGCTCCAGTGCACCTATTCGCGACCTCGAGATTCATCCCCGAGATTGAGGAATTCGAAGACCCCCTGAGATGCGAAATCAAGGCATCGGAAAAAGACGTACGTGACTATGTGTCACACCATATGTCCGATTTCCGTGTGCGAATCGCCAAAAACCCGCGTCTCGAAACAGAAATTATCGATGGGGTTGCCCAGGCAGTTCGTGGGATGTAAGGCAATACTTGCCCATATTGGCATACAAAAACACTAACATGACGTTTTTAGGTTCCTTCTAGCACGGCTCCATCTTGGATCCTTAACAAACACAACCTCGGTAAGGGAGATTTTGTCAGCTCTCGACAAGTTCAAACAACAAAGCGCAAATGAGTCCTCAGACCACCAAGTCTATGACGGAGCATACGATGATGCTTTTGCGAGAATAAACGGGCAGGAGTCTAATCTGCGTCATCTGGGAAGAAACGTCCTGTCATGGATCGTCCACGCAGTGCGGCCTCTGACCACCACCGAGTTGAATCACGCTCTTGCGGTGGACACAAACAGGTCAGACACGGATCTTGACCGTCACAACTTGAGAGATACTGATACTATCGTCTCTGTCTGCGCTGGGCTCGTTACCTTCGACAAGACAAGCGATAACATTCGACTTGTTCACTACACAACACAAGAGTACTTTCAGAGGACCAAAGAGAAATACTTTCCAACGGCCCATTTCGAGATGACGAAAGTATGTACGAGGTATCTAAAGTTCGCCATCGAAAGCGATTTGATGCGTTCATACCTTCGTCAACTTAGTTTATCCAGGGCCTCAAGTAACGTGGACGAGCCGTATCCTTTCTTCCGCCATGCTACCTACGCATGGGTATATCATGCATCAAAATGTTCCCCCTTGGGGCAGGATGTAAAAGACTTCCTCTTGGACGATACAAAGATGCAGGCTTTGTCAGAAATATCGGTGTCTAATGAGTTTCCCAACTCTGGTCTTGGGTGGGCGGCATCCTATGGGTTACAGGAAGCCATCGAGATATTCCGTGATCTGGGGCATGACCTCAATGCTCCAGACTCATTCGGAAGAACACCGTTGTTTTACGCGGCACGATATGGACGACTTGAAGCAATCAAGCAGCTGTGCGACCTTGGTGCATGCCCGGGGAACCCGCCACCAAACGGGGATGAGAAGGCTTTCCCATTGGTGGTTGCAGAGTTCCACGACCACCCAGAAGCAATTCGGCTTTTGCTAGAGAAAGGAGCTCTCATTGATGCACAGGGAGAGCATCGACGGACTTCTCTAGCTCTTGCAGCATATAGTGGCAACCTGAGTCTGATGGAGCTACTTCTAGACCGTCGCGCTTCCATTGACGCTGTGGACGACCAAAAATGCACACCGTTAATAATTGCTGCCGAAGCAGGACATATATCATGTGTCCGGCTTCTAATCGAGAAAGGAGCTCGTGTAGATACTCTGGACGAAGATGGTTGCACAGCATTGGCGTACACGGCACGCCTCGGTGACCTCGATCTGGTTAAGATGATGCTTGACAAAGGAGCTCCCATCGATGCTGCAGAGGGAGAGGGCAGCACTCCTTTACAGTACGCCGCAGAGGAGGGCCGAACTGACGTTATCAAGCTCCTCATTCAGAAAGGAGCAGACATCGAAATTAAAGGCCACGCCGACAAGAATGCCTTAGCTCTCAGTGCCACGGGGGGACATAGTGAGATTGTCAAGGCTCTACTTGACGCTCGTGCCTCTATCGAGGTCAAAGACAGCGCAAGCCAAAGTCCTCTATCGCTCGCAGCACGGAGCGGACGTCCAGAGGCTACGCAGATCCTTCTTGAAAGGGGTGCTGACGTCAATTCAACCGACTTCCATGAGCGAGCCCCATTGTCCTGGGCTTGTAGACACGCCCGCATTGCCCCGCCACGATTTCTCAAGACGATTCAGTTGCTTCTTGAACATGGTGCGCAAGTTAATGCGAAAGATAAATACGGCCGCACTGCCGTCTCCTTTGCATCCTCCGGAGAGGGAACCGATGATGCAGTCAAGCTTTTGATTGAGAGGGGCGCAGAAGTCAATATCGAAGACAAATGGGGGCGGACTGCACTCACAATGGCTCGCAGATACGGGCGTGAGGAGGCTGCACGAATATTAGTTGAAGCGGGAACTGTGGACAATTACATTCAAACGGATGAAAGCATCGGGCCAAAGACGAAGGAATTCTTGCGCAGATACCAGTCGTAAGATGAATGCTATGGCACAGTCCATTAGGAGTCGATAGGATACCACGGATTAAGTCACGTTTGCACAAAATGGAGTTAGATGTTGTTACTGCTCAGTGAAAGGAAGCTAGGTAATTTAATTTCATTTGTCTGACCAGTACTATGCAAGGCGAAAACTTTCGATCCTAGTACACATTTCGGCGGCCCAAATCTCGTCACCTCCCAGGCCATGAACGTAACTAACTACCTGTTAGCATGCTATTCTGAAGCAAAATTTCACCGAGCTGTACTTACCACTCACCAACAACAGACCATGTGCGATCTTCTGCAACTCCGCATTCGCGGAGAACGAAGGGCAGAGTTCCACCGCTGAGCATGAAGATTGCATCGCCAGAAACTAATTCGCGCGGGCCGAGTCCCAGGTAACCTTCTTCTGTCAAGAACAGGCACCGCCCAGTGTTGAAAACCAACTTTTCTGAAACCCCAGGCTCCATAAGAAGCCGTTCAGAGAGCCTTAACGTCACAGGAGGAATCGCCAGTCCTCTGTATGTATCCGTCCACAACTTGACGCCATCAGGCCACTGATTTGCCAATAGCGTTCTCCATACCACCTCAGTTGCTGTCTGATCTGGAGGCAGCTTGAGCTTGTCTGAGAAGCATTTAGCAGCACGACGTGCTCTTTCTGGCACTCTGTGATCACGCCAGCTAAATCCAGTGAGCTGGGCTGCGAGGGTCCGGAAGGAGTCGCGCCAATCTTCGCCGCAAGACTTGGAAAAGTCAAGCGGTGAAAACACGGTATTAACGCGAGTGAGAAAGACCCCTGCTAGCTCAAGAGTAGCATCCGATATGCGCGGGGCACCCACAAGTTCAAATTTGAGCATCCGTCGCAGCAAATCAGTCGTAAAGTTTGCATCGTAGTCGCATCCTTTGAAACCACCAGCCGACAGAGGGGTTGTTCCAGGTATCCGCGTGCTGAAATCAGGAACCCATGAAGGCAAGGTACAACCGAAGGCAACTGATCGAAATGCGATAGCGTCCAAGCTTTTCGTCTGCATCAGCAGGTTGTAGGTCGTCTCCGTATACAATTCCGCGACAGTAAGCGTGTAGTCTATCCTTATGGCTGATGGTCGTTGCGATATCCAAGTGAGCGCATAAATTTTATCGCGGGGATTGCCGCATAGCAGCTGACTGAACCGATAGAGAAGCTGTGGAAGAGGCGTTTTCTCCCCAAGGTGATACTCTTTTCGAATTTTGCTGATGCTTGATGCCACGTTCCATCCATCAGTAGCCTTAATGAGTTGGCGCGCTGACGGACCATACTCCTCTTCCTCCAGATTCAAGTAGATGTCGTCTATGACACTGAACACTTGCTCTGCAACACCGAAGGGCACCGGGAGCGTCCCATACATCAATCTTGGGTTCATGCCCACGACCAATTCCTGTAGGGCCCACATCCTAGTCCACCAAGGAGCAACGAACAGGCCAAGCAAACGACATAACTTGTCGTCTTTACATAACTCGGCTAGCAGTCGTGCAGCTCCTACGGTGTTCCCAGAAGAAGCGAGAGATGCTAGGCGATAGAGGTACTCGATGCCGTCTTGGTCCTCCTCTTCCAGTTGCTCATGAACTTGAACAAAAGTAGCGCTTGCCCTATGATAGATTTGCTCCATGAGCTGCACTTGTCCGGCGTGTTCGACATGGTCCATCATATTGATACTGATTTGGTCAATCCAAAATGCCGGTGGCATTTCTGTGGTGTGAAATAATGCATAGGGGAGAGTGTAAAGTATAGAAATAAGGCTCCGTGTTAGGCGTTTGTCAAAACCGAGAAGGCAAGACCTCTCCGATAACATTGGATTTCCCCATGCATATGAAATTGCCGTGTACGATGGAGCTTTTTCTATGGGGCAGCAGATAAAGCGCCAGTCCAGAGGCTCTGTGGGGTCCACATGAGGAAGGATGTCGATCAGTCTGATTGTATCCCGAGAAGAGCTCAGCATAGATGCTGAATAGATGTCTTTCATAGACACGCTCATTTTGCCAGCATACTCCCGATATGATTGGGTGAAGAATGCGGTATTAAGAGCCTCATAGAAGAAGGGCCTTTGCTTGGCGGGAATCCATTTAATCCAGTCGTCGAAGTTTGCCTTGCTTGTCAAGTTCCCAGCAATTGCACTTGTTGGACGCTTCCTCAGAAAGGAAAATACCCCGTGGCTCTTGAGTTCTGTTTTAAGAATTCTCAATAGGTGTGCTGCCAAAGCTCGCGGTGCAGCATGTCGATCGTCGACATTGTAATCTTTGAGATGTTTTTCCCAGTTGAACCACGCATATGATGACAATGGGTGCGTGCCTGGATTTGGGTTGACATCGTATCGGTTGTAGTGATATAGATATATAATGCATCCTCTTCCAATGGCGTCATTCGCCGCATCGATGCTAAACGCAAACGATTTCGCCCTTGTGTTGCCAATTTCCGTGCCAGTTAGAAACTCCTGAACCGAGTTATGAGACAGCATTATCGTGTGATGTTTTGCAGGAATATTCTCGTAATCTTTTACGCGTGGCTCAACTGTCGCAAGTCCCCGAAGGACTTGGACGAGATCGGAGGCAGGGCAGCGATTGTCGTGTTGTTTTTCTGATAGTGGGCTGCTAGTACGGATGTAAGCCGCGTCTAGCACCTCTTCAATGAAGAGTGGCCTTTTCGCGGCGACCATCCATTTCAAAGCAGAGAGAGCAACCTTCTGGATAGTATCTGGGATGTTTAAAAGCATATGAGTGTATGTCTCGTGGAGGGTTGCTGGTAAAGTAGACAAGGCCTGGGCCACGTCCTCTCGTCCTCTCAGAGGCAGTTCTTTGAGAATGCCAACTTTGAGAGCGGCTAGACGAAACCTAAGTTGAACCTATGAGAATCTTTGGAGAAAACTGCGGTAGAAATATCATGGGCTCACTGACATTCCCTCTCCTTGCCGAGCAGCGCCCTCGACAATGTCGATCTTCACCTGCTGACTCAATGACCTCAACCGCGACGAACTCAGAGCTTTCAAGACGAATCTCTCGATATCCTGCGCGATGCATGATTTTTTCATATCCTGTTGCTGCCATCTGACGGGCTTTGAAAGAGCCAAGTCGATATCTGGTTGATATCGGCTGGTGCATAGAATTCGAAGGCTCGGCAATCCTAGCTGGCTGAGGTCTTGCAGGAGGGCGGTGACCGAATCTGTCTGATTCTGGGGTACTTCATCTAGTGCATCAATGAGAATGAACACATCTTTTGCGACTTCCGATTCCATGGAGACCGTCTTGGTGCAGTTGATCCTGAGTGTTTCGATGAGAGTTTCTCGAAGTTCTTCTTCTGAGGGTTCGTCGGGAGGATACATTTCCTGGCAACGCTCATACAAGCTTTCCAAGGGTTTGGGAATCAGTGATGGTTTGCAAAGTTGTCCCAAAATAACTTTGAGTAGTTGCAGGAGTGACTGTCTCGTATTGTCCTGGAATGAGAAGAAGAAGAAGCATATGAAAACATCGGAGGATGAAAAGTGGCCTTTCTTAGTGGCAATTATCAAGCTGCTAATGACCGACGAACAGAGAACTGTTTTGCCAGTACCGACTATCACCGTGAGTACATATCGCTTCAGGTCTCAAAGCGGGCAACTCACCTCCTCCGATAAGCCAGAGCGAAGGCTCTGACCCCGAAAGCCATTTGAGATACTTGTCAGACTCAAAGAACCATGCACCAGTGCCATCTAGCCGTTTTGAAAGTTCACTTTTGAGTGTTGTTCGGTGATTATGTGGTCGTGGTGAGAGCCATTCCAAAATATGACGATACTTCTTCTGCCTCTGGAGGTCTTCAACACTGGGCTGAGACCAACTACTTGCGTAGTTGTTGGTCACACTCTGAATTGGGCCTGTGAAGGTCGTGTCAACAGACCCGACTATCTGCCTCGAGTTATCTTTGGCGATTGCTACGTTCGTAGCATCGAGTTTCTTGGGTCTCGCATAGGCGAGATCGGGCGTCCCGCCCATAAACGACGGTATGAAATATTCGTCGGCCCCATCAATCAGAGGCATGGAGCGCCTGTCCCATGTGCGAGGGTTCATGTCGTGGCAGTAGCGCACTAAGAACCAGACTCCTTAGGAGTGCCAGACGGAGACCGTTATCCTTCGGCCAGGTATTGTGAGAAGCAAAAATTACAACGAGTGATTTGCTGCCGAGTGGAGTGCGGCACCCGACCTTCTCGTGGATCGGTAACCGCTCTGAAATCAGGCTGCATGGGTAGGGGTACCAGCCAATAAGGTGATCACACAATTGTTGGGCTGTCGGCAAGCGACGTAAGCGGCGCATGGTTGCAATCAGGCTGTGCCCACTACTTTTGATGTTCACAAATATTCAAGGTTGCTGAATCCCACCTCCCAACTTGACCTCTGCGAATACTTGGGACTAAGTGATCTTGCACCCTTGATATGGCTGATCCCTTAAGCATCGTCGCCAGCGTCATAGGTGTGGTGACCGCCGCCGTTCAAGTTACCCAGGCGCTCCACGACTTTATCGGGGGAATCCGTGATGCTCCCCAAAATCTTTACGATACATCAGATCACCTCAAAGCATTGACAGATATTCTTGACAAGTTCGAAGTTGAGCTGAGGAAGCATAATGAGACTCCGGGAAGTCTGAGTACATTGCTTTCACAAGCCAAACCAACGATCGAGGCGTGTCAGACCGCGTGCAATGAGTTCCATGCTTGGTTGAAAAGGGCTACACGGCATTCAGACGCTAGTCATATCAGCTGGCGGGACCGCATCGGTCTTCAGTATGAAGACAAAACCATCAACGCATTCAAGTCTCGTTTGCAGAGCTACGAGTCTACAATCAACCTTGCTCTTGGTTTTACATCCCTGTAAGTACCACTGCTATCGATAAGCCACAAGTTTATGAAAAGGATACGGGTATTGATACGTTGAGATACTGACCTCTTTACATAGTAATCTGATGAGCCAGAACGCTGGAGACCTCCGGAGCATCGGAGACACTGCCACGAAGACTCTAGAAACAGTAACGAGTCAGATACAGGGACTTTCCATCGGGATGCAGGCTGTGATTGAGTTCGAAGCGGAGAAGAATGAGCTGATGAGTGCGCTGGAAGAACAAACCAAGATGCTCACACAGTGCGCGCGCGTTTGCATGCCTGTTCTCGAGGCAGCCACAAAGACTGAAGGCAACACGGTGAGATACGCGGTTGCTCTGGGAGAAGCTCGACAGCTCGTTGGTGTCATCGGTGATGTGAAAGCTGGAGGAGCTGCTGTGGCGATTGATCAGTTGATCGCGAAGGACAAAGCCAGGCAGATGGGAGGCACGATCTCTGGGGATGTTGCACTTGCGTTCATGAAGTAGAAGCATGAGTTCTGAGTCACAAGTAATGCCAGGTGGGATCTCCATGATCTGACCCTATCCCCAAAATCGATTATGTAAATGCGGCATCGTTGCAGCCGCCTAAGAACTACGAGTATGCTATTTAATCTGCTAGTGTTTCCAATAATTATGTTCAAACACATTAGACGGGGCTCTGGAGACTTGTCTGAGTTCACTCATCACCACCGCTGTCATTATGGTTCTGATCGTCTGAGCCTTCGTCGTCGCCGTCTCCGTCTATCTTCGCTACCTTCCTTCATCTTTATTCTAGGTTGTAGCGTTTCCCGTAGCAAACTGTTGAATGGTTCTCCTGCTTAGCCATGTCAAGACCGTAGTTTGCGATGATTTTGCTTTCCGTCCTTCAAAGATGTTCTGCCCCAGAGTGAAGCCTCATGATAAGGTCAAAAGAGGCCAGTCTTCGAATGAGGCATCAGTGATACCTTGCCCATCCATCAAACCATGAACAATGCTATCTCCGATGAGTTCATACAGTTTTCCATTCTCTTTCTTTCTTAGTACCACAGGAACGCTACAGCCTTGTATCAGAAACAGCTCGTCTCCAGGCTGACAAGAGCTTGCCGCCCATCCAAGATGGTCCTGGTCCGTCATAAATAGCCGCATTCCCATTCGGACGGAGGAGTAGCATCGCATCGCCTTTTTCACGGTGCCGGGGCGGGGTTTGTCGGAGGCAGCGCAAAGCCAGTTGGCAAGGGGAACGTCGCCAATCTTGAACTCCAGATTCTGTTTGCAAAACAGCCACTTATAAAACTCTGGTGCTTCTTTCTGAACAGACTCTCGCACGGACTCCGTCAAAAGATGGTGAAAGTCTCTGACGTTGGTCTTTTTGGGTTTGGGTAACTTGTTTTTCGGGATGAGATCGTACAACAGCCAGCAAAGTGATATGAGGCGTTCAAACTTGAGAGGGCCATACTTTCTCACGACGCTGAGCTCACCGACCTCGGCAGTGCTGGCTTCACGATTTGTTGCTGAGCACTGTTCCACGCGGCCCAGTCTCTTGTATCGCACTTGCAGCCGTTTTCGGCCAGGTTCGATGCTCCAATAAGCCTCGGACCCCTTGGTGGCTCTCCATTTGCGGACAATTTTGCTTGACCCAGACTCGCGATCAGTTCGCTCTGCCACGAAATTGCTCTTTCCCAGCAAATAATTGTTGATTCGTTCCTCGCCCCAAGTTGCCGGATCGTTCCACTGAGGGACCCAGGTTTCCCAGAAGTGGCACGGGAGCATGATAATGTCGGCATCCTTGTAAAAGTGGAGGAGCAGGGTGGCAGTCTTGCGGTTCAGGTCGTCCAGAGACGCCTCGTAATCGGGGAACGGCACGCTGTCTGGCCCGTCTATGGCCAGGTGCTTCAACGCGTACAGCTTGTCCTTGGGATCGGAAGACTTTGCCCTCCGGGAAAGGATGAGCGCTTCGACGAGGCGGATCGGCGACTCTCGAAAGTTGCGGAACCGGATAAGCCGCTCGACGTGCTCGAATACGGTGAGTGAGGTCAAGGCACTTGCTTCGCTGCTTGTGGAAGCCAAGGCCTTGCATCCAGCAACTGCCTTTTGCAGATCTGACATCGAGACGGACTGGCCGTTCCAGAAGAACTCAACCTGCATAGACACGGCGACTTCCTGTATGATCCACGCACGACTCCAGTAGTCCCGCTGAAACATACTCGTGAGCCCTGTCCAATGCATCAGGCTTTTGAGTGGATATGAAGATCCCGACACTGGGCTGGCTGCAGTATCCCTGTTTTGGTTCTTTTGGCCCTCTGAGGCGGCGATCAACGCCTCAATGAGGGCACATGCCTTTCCGAAAAGCGCGGTGTCAGATGATCTGAAATGCCCAAGCCATGCCATCGTGACGGACGCATATCTGTAGATGTCGCCCATACGATCTACCTGCTGGGCCCGCTCTTCGAAGTTGTATTGGTTGATACAGATTTGGTCTGCCCACACTCGGTAGTGCTTTCTTCGGCGCAGCTCCTGGAGGGCATGCGCGAGAGTTTTCCGCACCCGACGACGCGTCCCCGAGACCGTTATTTCCACCATACCGTCATTCTGGTCGCCCCAACAATACGACAGAGCCACATATTTCTCAGCTGCTCCCAGAGACACCTGCTCAAGATGGCATTCAACGGGGCTGGACGGGTCCTCGTGAGGGGTCAGAATGATGAGCCGGATCTCCGCCCTCGCAACGCTGAGATTCCAGTACGGGTAGTTGGGCACTTCGTTTGCTTTGGCGTACCCTGCTGCTCCACTGATATTATAGCGATACCAGGTTCTTCGGTCGCTGGAGTAATAAACCGCGTTGCTGTAGGAATACCAGTGTATCCTGCTGTATGGGTCGAAATGATAGCCGGGTGCCATGTCGGCAGAACGAGCCTTAGTCGCAGGACGAAACTTGGAATAGTTGACGAGCTCAGGCGACCGAGGATCTGGTCAGTTCGAAGCACCCCTTTTGCCCTTGAAGGGTAACGACGGATGCGTACCATAAGTTTGGGAAAAGAGAGAAGGTGTTGGTGGGTTAACTTGACCCATTTGAATGTGGCCTGGTGCTGAGTGTGCAGTGTTGCATTCAATCAAATTGAACGATCGAGTGTGTCTTGCATGCTGCATTAATCACGCGTTCATCAGAATCTGCCCAGCATATGTCAATACGCACTTATTGGTCAAGTACTTGGGAATGAAGTAAAAAGCTGTGCTGACTGCAGGAAGCGAGCGGGGGATGCCTCTGCCCAGCCGCAACGGCTCCTTTCAACAAGCAGGCTGTGGCCCACACACTGGTGACACTGCATTCACTGACGGTTCTATTTATCCCAGGTCTGCGAGATGCAGTCTTACGTGGCAGCGCCTCGAATGTTTCTGCATCCCCAACGTCCAATGCACTTCGGGCCTAGACCATGCATATGTACACTGCAATTCCTCACTAGCTTCTCTACTGGGCTTACATCACTGTCTATCCTCCGATAAGGTAGGCTGCGAAATTCATTCAACTGCCAAATGGACGCCTTACGACGCCTTCCGGTTTGGGACGCGAACTACCCGCACGGAAACTAGCCTCGGAGACCAACCCCACTTCCCCGGTCATCCTCCCGAATCAAAATTGGACCCTCGGGAACGTGGTCCGGGAAGCACGGAGTCCTCTGCAAACGCAGCGCCCAAAAATAACCACGGTCCCTCAAATGACCTCATTTCGGAGGCGAGACATCTCCCACGAAGGTTCATATTCCCGTGGAAATTTCACAAAACCATTCAGCACGACACTTGCCTCCCAAAATAACCTCGAGTCATGCCGTCGTAGCCACCTCAGACCGCGGATCGGACATTGACCCTCAACCACCGACGCCCTTTCCCTCCCCTACATCCCGTACCTACACGGTAAATCAAACGCCTTCCCACCAAAATGCCCACGAAACTCCTGCCCAAATCTCCCCGGAACCAAACAAACCCATTCTCGCGGGAGGACCCTGCACACACCACCCATAATCTTGAAGATTAAAGGTCCAAGCTCCCTTTTATGCCTGGACCTCTTCAACGCCGGCAGTCGGCGGTCTCGCCGCTCGGTGGATCTACGACGTCCCATGCCAGGGGTATCCCCGGCTCCGCGGCCATCGCGGAAGACAGGTCGATCTGATGTTTGCTTCGCCCAAGGGGAAAATGCGAAAGCGGGTGCTTCCCTAAGTTTAAGCTCCGCTTCCGCTCCCACACCTTTCTTCAAACGCTGTCCTTATCCACTTTAGGCTACCTTGCCTTTCTTCAAGCTGGCCGCACGTCGCCACACTTGCAACCTCATCCTACGACGACGTATCTACGATGGCGTCGCCGGAGCCGGGACAGCAGCCTCTGGTGAGCTTCATTCGCTTCTGCAAGATGCTTTTGGGTCATTGCTGATGAGCGTTGGTGAACAGGCTCCTGATGACTTTGATTCCGACTCTGTCATTTCCCAGGTGAGTTGAGCGATCCCCACATTTCTGTCCTTCCTTCCCCCCTTTTGATAGACCACGCGTCTGAGTTTCATGTCGGAAGTTGGTGATGTTGTTAAACTGACTGCGAATGCGAATTAAGCCGCCAGAGAGCTTAGAGTCGATCCGGAGCAGCGTGTTGAGATTCCATGTCGAGAATGGGCGGACGTACCATGCGATGAGCTCGGGGAGTAAGTTGCGGTGAAGCTGGTCGTGGGGATGTGATATGGCAACTGATGCGGTTGGGCTGGTAGAGTACTCGTTTCCCAACGACGAGAGGGAAGCAGAGCGTTTGGGTATGAGAGTCCACTGAGAGTGAGGCGTTGGCTCGTCGGCTGATGAGAGACAGATTTGCAACATCATATGTGGATATTGACGCTCCGCGGAAAGCTGTGTCTATGTCCCAAGGGCGAGGAAGAGAATAAGCGCGTCTTGGACTGCGGCACCGGGACGGGAATCTGGGCGATGGAATATGGTAAGACCCGACGCCCCTCTTCCAAGACCGCGGGAAAAACTGACATCCTCTTAGCTGATGCACACCCCGAAGCTCAAGTCAAACACTCACCTTCCCGTCTTCACTCTCACTAACACCCACCAAGGTCATCGGCGTCGACTTAAGCCCCATGCAACCATCATGGGTCCCCCCAAACCTCTCCTTCGAGCTCGACGACCTCGAAAAGGACTGGACCTGGTCCAAGCCCTTCGACTTCATCTTCGGCCGCGTCCTCGCGGGCTCCATCTCCTCCTACCCGGACTTCTTCGCCAAAGCCTACGCGCACCTCGAGCCCGGCGGCTACCTCGAGATGCAGGACTTCGCCCTCCCCTACCGCTGCGACGACGGCACGCTCCCGCCCTCCTCCCCGCTCCACCGGCTGTCGACGCTCTTCCGCGAGGGCACCGCCAAGGCCGGGCGGCGGATGGACCTCGCGCCGGCGTACGCGCGCATGATGGAGGCGGCGGGATTTGAATGCGTGACGGAGTGGACGAGCAAGTGGCCGATGAATAGGTGGCCGCGGGATCCGCATTACAAGGAGATCGGGATGTGGACGCACGCGAATCTGGATACCGGGCTAGAGGGGCTGACGCTGGCGCTGTTTACGCGGTTTCTGGGCTGGAGCCGGGACGAGACGCTGGCGTTTTGCGCGGAGGTTAGGATGGCGTTGAGGGATTGTCGGACGCATGCGTATTTGCCGATGTGAGTTTTCCCCGTGTGAGGTGGTGGGAGGTTGCTGATGGTGGGCAGATATGTTGTGTATGGACGGAAGCCAGTGGGGAAGACGGCGGCGAGGGCGGGGGAGGGCGGGACGGAGGGTGAAGGGTCGGTGCCGGCGGGGATTCAGTAGGCTTGGGGGTTACGTGTTGGATAAGGATGGTTTGCGAGGGCGGCGTGGTGCTGTCGGAGTTGGCGGGCGGATCATTGTGGTTTTTGCAAGTGCTGGGTCGGTTGCATGTGTGGTTTCGGGAAGAGAGGTCGTTGCATACCCGTTGATCAGAACAAAACGCGGAGCATTTCATTTTGTTACTCCGTAATCCCGGATGATTGCACAAATGATATGTTGTCATATGCCATTGCAAAAGCCGTTTCCCGTTCCTATGTGGTGGCAGCAGGTGAAAGAAGGAAGAAGTTACATGAAGGCAAACCATAAACGGGAAATCACGGCGAAGCCAACACCCGGAGATACACCCCCGGCCCCGTTAATCCGTAAATCCACGCCGCGGCGCCGACCGACCTCCCTCCTTCGCCGCTTACACATCCCCCCTTCCCTTTCCTTCCCCGAGCCCTCCGACTCTCAAGTCCCGAATCAAGACCCGGGGGGAGTCGGGAATTCCCCAGGGCCCGTGCTCGCCTCCACCTTTCCGCGACTGACGTGGGGGCGGGGCAAGAGCGACGCTAAAACCCCGCAGAGCATTCCACTGTTGCCCCCCTCCCAGTGCTCTGCTGTGCTGTAGAAGGAGGGGTAAGGGAACTGCCGCCAGCTACGTGACGGCGTTGACTTTTCGCATTCTTGGGGGTATTTTGAAACGTACCTGACGTATGGCTTTTTTGTATTCAGCCGCTGTGAAGTAATTATTAAATATCGACTGATGGCCCGCGCAAAGTGGTCCGAAAGAGAGGCCACAACCATCGGCTAAGAAATCACCCGCGACGTCAACGACTCGGTAAAGTATCATTATTAGAGGATCACCGAGCAACAAAGTAAGGTGACGCGGGGCACATCAGGTACGGGACACGCTGCCGGGAAGTGAAAAAGTCCACTCGGAGCTTGGTGATTACCGAGCATTACATAAAGAGGGTCCCCCTAGCCTTGGAGCTTCGACGACGCAACTTACACAGACGGGCGGAAGACATACTTAACCGTTCAATCCCGGACGACCTTTAAGGATTCGGATTGCAGTCGTGGGAACTTTGCAACTGAACCAGAAAAGAAACAGCAAGCATGGCGGACAAGACACCGGAGCTGCTGGATCTGACGATCGACAACATCACGCCCAACACGATCCGCATCAACTCGCAGAGCCAGAATGCGCGCCTCAAGTACCTCATGGAGCGGCTCGTCACGCACCTGCACGACTTTGCGCGCGAGACGAGGTTGAGCACCGACGAGTGGATGGCGGCGCTCAACTTCCTCGTGGGGTGCGGGCAGATTAGCAGCGACGTGCGGCATGTAAGTCGACCCGTCCCCTTGTGGCACTCTTACGAAAGGGACAGACCGGCTGACTAGGCTAGGAATTCATTCTCCTCTCCGACATTCTCGGCCTCTCCCTGCTCGTCGACAGCATCAACCATCCCAAGCCGTCCGACTCGACCGAGGGCTCCGTCCTGGGCCCGTTCCACACGCACGATGCGCCAACGCTGGAGAACGGGGCCAACATGTCGGGAGATCCCGAGGGTGAGCCGTTGTTGGTTGTCTGCACAGTTAAGGACCGCCAGGGAAACCCGGTGTCTGGGGTCAAGATCGACATTTGGGAGACAGACAGCAGCGGGCACTATGACGTGCAGCACGAGGGACGAACGGAGGCGAGCGAGCGGTGCGTCATGGTATCTGATGACAATGGGCGATTCTGGTTCCAGGGCATCAAGCCCGTCAGCTATCCCATTCCGCACGACGGACCTGTAGGAAAGCTGTTGGACCATTTGGGCCGACACTGCTGGCGGCCTGCACACTTGCATTTCATGTTTGAGAAGAAGGGCTGGGATCACTTGATCACGTAGGTTCTCCCTATGGCATACCGAGTGAGAGATAAGCTGACGACAAGCAAGTGCGCTCTACATCCGGGGTGACCCGTACGAGAAGTCGGATGCGGTGTTTGGTGTCAAGAAGAGCCTCGTGGTGGACCTCGACAAGGTTGACAAGGCGACGGCGGAGAAGTACGGGGTCAAGGAGGGAAGCTGGCTGTTGGAGCAGGACTTTGTGCTGGTGACGCAGAAGGAGACGGAGGAGCTGAGGGACCGCAACGCGGTTGAGGCTCTGAAGAAGCTTGGGCTGACGCATCTGAAGCTCGTGGACCATCTCCCCGTGCCGGAGCTGGACTGAGGGCGCTCGCCTGTATGGAATTTGCCGTATATTATGTCATAATTGGAAGGCCGGTTTGACCACCAGATTGCTGCACGGCCCAGATCGAGGCTTTATCGGCGCAAAGCCCGGATGCGGATGATCCGTAGGGCTGGGCGCAGCGCTGGATGCGGCAGGACGGAAACGCCGGGCTGGCCACTTTTTTGTCTGGACCGGCTGGCGGCAGGTGGGGACGGGACGGTGGGATGGGTCACTCGGCCGGCGGGATGAATGCAAGGGGGATCCGGACTCCTCTTTGGTGCGACTGCAACGCAGTAAAGAAGTCGAGTCGAGTCGCATGGCACCGCCGACCGCGCGCCTTCCCTGCTAGATCAAGGTACAATGCGAGGTTTGGTTGATGGCCGTGTTTGTTTCCCCGTCAGATGATGGCCATTGTCTCAGCCCGAGCTGGGCGGGAGGTAGCTGGATCTGATGGGATACCTGGGCGGAGGGTACGAGAGGGCCGCGGTAGCGCCGGGGCTCGGCCGGTGGTCGCGGGTGGCTGTACGTGGGCGATGGGTATCTCTAGTTGCCGAGATACGAAGTACGCAGTAGGAACAGTTCGTGCTACTGCGTACGGCCCACGGTGCATGTATTGCTGCTTTCCCCAGCACTAGGCCGCAACTAGCCATGGTTCGCAGACGACCTCGAGAAGGGCCGGCCTTAGCTGGGTGCTGGGTGGGGGCCGTGCTGGCGTGACTGCACCGACTGTGACTCTAGCTATCTTATCTGGTGCTTCTTGACTGGGTGAGCTGGTCCAAAGGATGTGTTGTGAGTTGTGAGCGAGAGTCACTGCGAAAAGCAACCTTGAGATGATGGCTGCTGTCTGTGACTGATGTCGGTGATGAAGCGAGTGTGTGTGTGTTCAGCTTGGTGCAGTGCAGCGAGGTGCGGTGAGTGGTGGTGGGCTTGGTGGATCCTCCGTGGGCTGCCTCAGGGCGGTGCTCATTGGCCAGAACCATCGGAGCCTGCCTTATCTGCCAATCACCACCAGGCACAGGGTAAGCGCTCTCCCAGGCGGTGGTTCTGGGCAGGCATCGGCCACGGCGGTCAGCACTCAGTCCAGTGCCTTCCCACACCTCTCAGGCGCTGAGGAGGTGCTGGATGGGCGACGGGGGCCCGTGCGCCTTGCCCCTCGTCACCCGTGCCTCCCACCTGCGCCCCTCTCTGGCCTTTCCGAAGCCCACACTGATGCAGCTGGCAGTGAGCCACCCCCCCTTTCACTGAGCAAGCCCCCCCGTACCCGACCGAGTCCGTCATTTCTCCCAACTTCCACAAACATCAGTCATCGATCTGCAGACCACCCACCCCCCATAAATCTTCCGACGTACAAAACCCAACAGGCCTCGCCAACTCTCGACTCCGACTGACTTCGCCACCTTCTCGTCACGTATATCACCGCCAGCCCTCCCGCCAGCTTTAGCTACCAGACATCCATCCGCGCTACTCAGCTACAAACCAACTACCACTCATCTAAACGCCCGCTGCAGCGAGACCGCTTACCGCAAGCCGTCTGTCGCTGACCTTTCATCCCTTCAACCAAACCCATTTCCCACAGTCACCCCCGAACAGACGAGTTTATGTCAATTGAAAATCTCAAGACCTACGGTACGTCTGCCCCTCCGACGTCTGCTCCACGTGCTGCCCTGTCGTCGTCGCGTCTCCGCGATGTCGTCGGTCACATCACGCCCGGACACGTCGCCTCTCCTTGACCGCCATGTCCAAAGACAGATCCGCTGACATCCACCTATGTAGACCCCTTCGCCGAAGCCGACGAAGACACCGGAGAGACCAAACAGGCTCAAAATTATATTCATATACGAATCCAACGTATGTCTCATCCCCGACACCCCCGACCGTCGCTGCCGACGACAAATGCCGCACGTGCCACGCTCAGCCGTGCGCAAACTCGGATGAGGACAACCGCTGACATTTCGACACAGAACGCAATGGACGAAAGACTCTGACCACCGTTCAGGGTCTTCCAAAGAAATTCGACCAGAAGAAGATTCTCAAGGTCATCAAGAAGCAATTCGGTAAGCTAGCTACCCCGCCTTCTCATTCCCAACCAAGCTAACCCAACCCAGCTTGCAATGGCACCATCGTAGCGGACAGCGAGATGGGCGAGGTCATCCAGCTCCAGGGTGACCAGCGCAAGGTCGTCCAGGAATTCCTCATCAACAAGAAGGAGGGTCTCGGACTTGATGCCAAGACCATTAAGGTCCACGGCTTCTAAGCCCGCCGCAGGTCGCCGCCGCTCCTGCACAGCACCACAGCATGTGTCTGCGGAGCTGACGTCCGGGTTCGAGGAGTGTTAGGCATGAATAACCTGGCAGTCTCCCGCCGCGCAGTGTGGCGCCCGATATCGACGTAGTAGGACGGTATACCATCCCTCCGACGGAAGAGGTTATCGGCGTGATGGTTTAGGGCGACTTGCGTCTTCTCCGACGCGATGATGATAAGTCAGATATCGAGATATCTTTTGGGGTTTGCCGTACTTCCATTGATAGTCGGGCAGCCCAGAGATTACAGTCTTAGAAATTGACACCTTCGTCACACCTGCTGATTTTGCATTTTCGTGACCTACGGCTAACCCGGATAACCCAACACGCTGCATCGTTCCAGAAGCCTGCAAGGTTTAGATAACGTTGCGTATGACTGCACCCAACGTAAACTCAATTTGCCCAACCGTGACTCGCGGATACTTTTTCGAGATCGACAGAAAAGACGTCAGTCACTAGAGATAGATACCGTGAAGCCATGCGCCCACCACAATATTGACATTTCCCATCATTAACCAGCGCAATTATTCCTTGATCGTGGGTATCTATGTTTCTCAAACCAAAAAGGGCATCCCATCCATCCGTACAAAAAGACGAAAACATTCAAAAACATCGCTGTTCCCATGCCCCCGTATCTTTGACCACTCTCCAACATCCGAATGTGATGATTGTATGATTCTGTATTCTTATGTGCCTTCACTTCGTCTTTTTTTCGCCTGCAAATACGTCGTGCGTCACAGCTCTGTCCGCGCGGTGGAGGATGAGTCGAAGGACGCGGGTATGATGCCGTCGCCCACGACGTTCCGCGCGAGCTCGAGCAGTAGGCGGGCGAGCGACTCGAAGGGCTTCTCGGGGTAGTCTGAGCCGTTGTAGTGGAGGTGCGCGAGCAGGGAGACCATGCTGATGAAGCTTGCGATGGAGAAGATGTTTATCGAGGTGGAGGTTTCCTTTTTGATGTTTATGCTGCGCTGGGTGATGTGGTAGGCTATCGTCAGGGTCTGGTCGTGGAGAAATATGTGTTAGTGAGGAAGGGTAGACAGAAGGAGGGCTGGGACTCACTGTTGCGATTGTGACCCATCCCGGGAGTAAGAGCCTCGGGTCCTCGAAGCCGCCTGAGAAGGTGAGGATTCGCTCCGTGAGGAAGGCATTTGTGGCGTTCATTGTGAGGATGCGGATTATGGTTGCTGAGGGGGTGTAGTTGATCAACCTGTCGAGCGCGTTAGCTGTTATAGCTTCCCAAGCTGGGAGAGGGTACGAACCAGCGGGACATGAGGCAGTCGATGAAGAAGAAGGAGAGATAGGCCGATGCGCCGCACTACCAAGCTGTCAGCTAGCTTTCCCCAAACTACATGTTTGATCTGTTGTACTACGCACCCACATCAGACCCAGGGACATCTCCGTCCAGGGAAACGGTATCGCGGGGTGCGCCGGGGGCCAATTGCTCGGCGGACAAGCTCCCGCCCCTCCACCAACTCCTCCTCCGGCATAGCTTAGCCCTCCCGTGGCCGCGGCCCCGGCGGCAGCAGCAGCTGCGGCGGCATTCCCGAGTCCCGCGGCGGCGAGGTTCGCAGCGGCCTTCTTCCCGCCGGGGACGGCGACGGGGATGATCTGGACGAGGAGGGTGACGGCGGGGGAGAGGGCCCAGAAGATGTGCGGGCCGATGGAGAGCAGGCGGCAGGCGAAGAGCCAGGGGCGCCAGGCCTTGGGGACGTTGAGGACGACGGCGATGCGGGGCTCGAGGAGGGAGGAGGAAATGTGGTCTGCGTTGTGGGTATTCGCGTAGGGCGGCGGGAGGTCGATGTCGTCGGTGCCGCTGGGGTAGGAGGGGGCGTCGCGGTGGTGGTGAGGAGGGTGGCCGTTTTGGGAGGAGGTCGTGGAGGGGCGTCGGGGGCCGGGAGGGGCCATTTAGGTTTGTCGTCGGGGGCTGGTGGCCATATGGGAGGAGGATTCTGAGGAGTGTGGCATGTGGCGATTTGGGGGATTGGTGGTTCGTTTTGTATGGATAAGGATACAGATGGAGGCGAGGAGAGGAGGAGGAAGAAGAGGTTATCGTGGCTGGGGGGTTTTGAGCTTGGAAGAAGGAAGGAGGGGACGGCGGACTTGGCCGCGGTGCGTTTGTCTGACGGATGGTTGTTCGGGTGCCGGCTTGGCGGTGGTGGTGGTGGTACCGTTAGGGTAGGTGATAGAGCTCCCGGGAGCTTTGACTTTCTTCGAAATTGGGTAGCTGTCCTTTTCTTTTTTTCTCGGACCTGACGACGACGGCGCCCGGGGGGGTTTTGGGCGGCGGACGGATTGACGTTTTGGAGATTTGGGGCAGCCAGCGGGCGGGCACTTTTTTTCCTGCGGGAAAGTGAAGTGATGACGGGAACCCTGGATGGGGATGGGGGTCGCGTGCCCGCAATTGCGTCTGTGGTTTCAGTTGCGGAAATACCCAGGCACCGTCGATGCGATACGATACGACGGGATACTGCTGCAGAACCTTGAAAGATTATTTGTGTGTGCATGTGGGATTATTGCCATTTTGCCAGCGGGCGTTCTTTGCAAATTGTGTCATTGGCTGCGGATGGAACCTTGGGATGCCTGCACCACCTTCTGCATTGGGCTGGTCTTTTGTTATCAAGTGACTGGATACGGTGTGTCTGGATAGTCTTTTGGGGATGGTGTCAGAGGAGAGAGTGTAAGGGTACGGTGGTTGATGGCAATTGGATGGTTTAAGCTGTGGACGGACAGGTTCGTGGAGTTCTGGGAGCGCCGCATCCGCATGAGTGCCCAATCTCTCAAACGCGTAAACGGTCAGCCCAAACGCAGCTTCACTGGCAGTGCGAGGGGGCAGAGAGTTCCCGTGAGGCAAGCGAGAATGTCGGTTGCCGTCTTGCGAGTAACACGAGCTTGGCCGAGTTATCCACAGAACTGTAGCTTTCGTGTATGGAAGCAACGAAGCTTCTTATCAACATCTCACGAGATCACAGACATGGGAAAACAGCAGCCTTTTTGGAGGCTTTCACCAGGTCAGTCAATGTTTACATCCGGCTCTGGCTACTCAAGATACCCCAGTTGTCGCGTATCACACCTGAAGGCGCAAAGCACAAAAAGCATCAACTTGACACAGCATCTCGTTCAACCCCAAGTCCCTGAGCTGAAGCAATTAATGTCGACCACAGCCCAGCAGGGTCCCTACAGCCGGTCCCGCCTTGGATGCCCCGTTCCTTACGTTGGCGGCGGATCCCCTAACCCACCGTCCACGTCTTCCGTCGTCATTCCAGTCAATCCCTCCAAGAGAAACAGAAATAACGATAAAACGGCCCACAACCGCGAGCACGTCCATTGAAGCTGTGCTCATTGGCCGGCATACGCCACACCTGTGGCGTTCATTCACGCCACAAGCTGCCTGCGCCACACCGATGGGCCGTTCGAGAAAAAACGACGTCCCGAAAGCTTGGACCAATCTTTTTTTCGTCAATTGGAGATTTTTGGTGATCGCCAGCCGCAGTGTTCTGCCCCGGGAACGTCAGGCCATCGCTCTCGCCCGCACGACAACGATGAGCAGCAACACAGTATACCGCGCCGCGAGGCCGTTGCTCGACCTGGGCCGATCAGCTGCCATGCGTCCCCAGACCTTGTTCCGCGCTTCGTTCCCGACCACGGCGAGGAGGATACCTGCGACGACGAGGGGCTACGCCGGCGCCAAACCCCCCTCCGCCGACATGCGAATGATGAGCAAGGCCATGTCCGCCCAGGACAAAAAGGCTTCTGCTCAGTTCTCCGCCAGGAACATGGAGAAGCAGCAGCAACAGCAGAACATGGCGAACATGCTGCTCCCTGGTATGTCACCGTACGCTCCGGTATAACACTGCATTCCCCAGCTAACCACCACGGGTCGACAGGCACCTTCGTCCCCCTCCCCCTCGCCAGCACCCCGAAGCCCTACTACCCATACCTCGTCGCCCGCTTCAAGCAACTTGCCAAGGACCTCATGGTCTTCGCCGGCCTGAAGCTCCAATCGATGCCCAAGTTCTGGAAACGGCCCCGCGCGCAGTTCCAGGCCTCCTCCATCGTGCCGACCGCCAAGGCCCTGCACCAGCAGCTCGCCGAGGCCATCGCCGCCGGCGACAAGACCACCCTCCGCCAGATCTGCGTGCCGCACCTCTACGAGACGCTCTCGGCCACCATCTCGCGCCGCAAGACCACGCACAAGCTCACCTGGGAGCTGCTCGCGTACGACGGGCGCCCGAAGCTGCTCAGCCACCGCCTCGCGATGCTGCCGCCCGTGGGCAAGTCGCCGCTGCTGCAGCAGGCCGTCGTCGGCATCGTCAGCAGCCAGAGGGTCGGCCGCGTCGACAAGCAGACGGGCAAGCCCGTGCCGAGCAGCACGCGCGTGGAGAAGCTGAACGAGTACCTCGTGCTGTCGCGCAGCCTGGACCCCCAGACGTACAAGCCCGGCAAGTGGATTGTGTGGGGCAACACGAAGGTCACGACGATGGAGCGCTGGAAGGCTGAGGAGACGCAGGTCGCGGCGATGGAGGCGGCGGAGTTTGAGAGGAGGCGCGGCTTCAAGGCGTAAGATGGGTGTCACGGCGGGAGGGAATGTGTGGATGAGGAGCAAAAAACATGTAATGAGTGTATTATATGTGTCTGATTATCTTGGCTGGAAAATGGCCGCGGTTGCATTGGAGCGGAATGAAATCCTCCAACCACGAAATACAGAATTAAAATCTCCCCCTACCTCGTCCCCCTATATATGTTTGCGTCCTGAGACGACATGTTCGCTGGCTTTGGTCAAAAGTTTAGAAGAACTTGCCAGCGGGCTTGACAATCTCAACATCGGACGTGACGTCGGTGTACTCCTCACGCGAGACGGTATGCGGCACGCCATCCGCGTCAGGGGTGAAGCCAGGACCGACAGGCCGGTCAAGCGCGTCGAAGCGGCGGCCGCTCTTCTTGGCCATCACGTACTGGAACCCAAGCCGCACGCCGAGCGCGCCGAAGCCCCAGAGGAAACTGCCCACGGGGGCGGCGACGAAGGCGCCAAACACGCTCCAGTCGTCAGCATACAAACCCTCTGAAATAATCAGCAAATTCGCCGCCTTCTGCGCGTCGCCCTCGTAAAACACCAGACCGAACAGGAAGACGGTGAGAATACCGCCCAGGCCGCCGACGACGACCTCGAAGCCGCGCCACCAATAGAAGCGGTCGACGAGCCCGAAGACGAGGACGGGGATAACGGAGGCGGAGACGAGGTCGGAGATGAGGTAGATCTGCAGGACCGAGGGCGCCTTGAGGGCGATGACGACGGTGGGGACGATGATGAGCACGACGCCGGCGCGGATCCACCAGATGTTGAGGCGGTTGCGGAAGAGGTCGTTGGAGGCGGAGGAGACCATGGCGGACTGGAGCGAGTCGAAGGCGGCGGTGGAGAGGGTGCAGACCATAACAAGAACAATACCGACGACCCAGGCGGGGAGCTGCTGCAGCAGCAGGAAGAAGGCGACGGAGCCCGAGTCGGCGATCTGGTCGAGGGGCAGGGCGCCGGACCAGGCGGCGACGAGGCCGGTGACGCCGACCATTGTGAGGACGCAGAGGATGACGGCGACGGCGATGGAGACGCCGATGCGCAGGTCGCGGTCGGTCTTGGAGGCGAAGGTGCGCAGCCAGAAGCCGGAGAGGAAGAAGTCGTTTGTGAGGATGCAGATGGGCAGGATGTAGAGGAGCTGCCAGCCGAGGAGGGTGGGCTTGAGCAGGCCGGAGGTGTCGATGAGGGAGGTGTCGATCTCGGTTTTTACGCCCATTGTGATTGCGACGATGATGATGAGGCAGACGACCATGGCGCCCTGGAGGTTGTCTGTGATGAAGGAGATTTTGAAGCCGCCGAGTGCTGAGGGATGTTAGTGGAAGGATGGGAGATTGAGAGGATGGGGGGTAGGTACAGGTGTAGATGGTGGTGATGACGCATTGGACAATCATGACGGGGAGGCCATCGAGGCTTGTCAGGGCGTTGACGACCTGGCCAATGGCGGAGAGCTCAGCGACCATGTAGAGGAATAGCGTGACGAGGGTCATGAAGCTGAGGTACAGCATGGCGATGGTGCCGTAGCGCTGGCGGGTCCAGGCCGTCAGGACGAAGCCCTCGGGAGTCTTGCGGCGGATGATGGGGCCGAGGACGGCGAAGATGAGGAGAGGGAGGGAGGAGGAGAGGGCGTAGACGACGACGCCCTGGACGCCGGTGATGGTGGCGAGCTCCGGGTAGGAGAAGAGGATGCCGGAGCCGAGGGCTGGGGTGGTTAGTTTTTTGTCAACGCACACGAGAAGGGGGGAGGAGGGGGGAGAGATATTGGAGCGGCAGCACGTTTCCCACGCAAGCATTAACTTGATCGAGTAATTACGGTACAATCTCAGCTTCACTTCCCCGGGGGCGGGCATCTCCTCTCGGGGGTGAGAGGGTGGATGCCGGCGCCGCCCGGTTCAAATCCGCGCCCGTAGTGAGCCGCATCCTCGGGGTCCCGCCCGCTCTTCGGCCGGTCTGGGGACTTGGTTCCTCGACTGCGGTGTTCCAGGCCAAGGTGGATGATGGACGGAGTAGGGGGGGACAAGTCCGCCAGGCCAAACCGAAGAGAGGGAGGTGCCCGCGAGGACTGTTATTGATCTTTGGGTTACGAACCTGCCTGTCAGTTTCGTCGGATGTGGCACCCTGGATCTTGCTCGTCTCATGAATACTCTGGGGGCATGAGGAGCGATGTCGCGCCCTCTCATGTCAAGTCTGTCGTCTCTGCGCGCATGGCTTCCGCTGGGTTGGATTCGTGGTTCTAGCTGGTGCTGCTGCTGCCGTTCTGCTGCCGTTCTGCCGCTCTCTTGTTCTCAAGAGAATGATTCGGGCCGGAGAAGCGCTCTCGCGTCTTCCTCACTCACCAGAGGCGATGAAGTTGAGGGCCAGGGGGAAGGCTGCGGGGAGGAAGAGGTTAGTCGGGTGGTGTCAAGTGAGGCGAGACGAGCTCGCAAAATTTAGAAACGGCGGCGCAAACGCAGCCTCGTAGATGCCGTCACGAGATTGTGAGGGGATTTCTGACCCGTCTGAGTCCTGTTACCAGAAAGGAACTCTCCCTTGGACTGGTTGCGGAACTTCCACGCAATGGCAGTTCCCGTGATCCTGCGCGCGTGGTCAGCGAAAGGTTCTTTCCCCGATGAGAGCGTTCGAAAGGGTTCATGAAAGGTTGCCCAATGTGTGGGACTTTGATTCATACAGGAAGAGTCCATAAGTGACGTAGATGATGGCATTCGATGCCGCGAAGGATGGCTGTCCCATGATTGCTGTCTGTCGCAAAGAATGCTTGTCGTCTTCTGTTCTTGCTGAGCTACTTGGAGTTTGCAGAAATGACGCAAATGATGCGATTCGTCCGTGACGGAGGATTGGAAAAAGCAATGCAACGAGAGCGAAATTTTAAAGACGGCTCGGTTCGTGGCGTGAGCGAGGACAGAGGCGAGATTTGCGCGCGAAAAAAAATCCTTGCGCCGGGCGACGTTCAACCGCGACGGCGACAGCAAAATGAACCTGGGAACCTTGGCCGAGGCCCTCAGCTAATCAGATTCGGGAAGCGTGATTTGGCAGGACAAGAGCATGCTCATCCTTGATTAGTTAATGGTCTGCTAAAAGAGTGGATACGGCTAGGTAACTTTTCTGCGTGGGGGAGAAAGAGGTTTGGTCACTTTGGTGGTGTCGCGATTGAGTGGCCGACTGCGGCGACGGGCCATTCAGAAAGGCAGGTGGTGCTGTTGAAGTGGAGGACTCAGCGGGTGGTGGGGAGTTGCGCCGTTTTTGGGCCGCCGGTGTCACGCCGGAGCCTTGGTCCGGTTTTTGCCAAACTGATTGATGAAAGACGGTCTACTCGAGACTTTAGTTCATCTTCGAGAACTTGATTTTGTGGTTAATAATAATCAATGGAGTAGAGCACTGGCGACTGTTTGGCGGCAGTTGTTGCAAGTGCATGTCGCTGTTTCTGTACTGGTTCCTGTATGCGTGTGGTCAAAACTGATGCCAACTCAAATCATACTTCAAAAAGAAGCCAATGCCTATTCTCACGTTCTGATCAGAGCTGAGAGCGATAACCTTCATGTATTTCGAGAGGGTTGTCTCTGTTTCGAACAGAGGTCAAGTGGACGTCGAATAAGATTGACCTCGAGGGAGCCGAGTATTGCCAAGAAACGGCTTCTTTATAGCGAAAGTCTTCCATCCAACAAGTCAACCATGTGGACTTGAGACCGACAGACTCGTCCCTCGAATGCCGTTGTAATCTGCGGAGGCCACGCAGGGCACCCGAAACCTTCTCCCTTCCGGAAGAGGGCCCGGGGGCCGCCGCCATGTGTCCGGAGCCCGGAGCTGACCTCCGGCGTCGTCCGTGCACCCCCGACGTTAAGCCAACATCCCGTCCTACCTCGAACACCGTCCACCAAACGTCAGTATCTCCGGAGAGGCCAGGCCAGCCGCTGCTACCTCAATTCCAGCTCACCCTAACGTAACATGAGATTCTGTCCCAGCCCGCGACCCCACCAGCGACCAAACGGGTGCCTCGACGGCCCAGCAACCCCAGCCACTGATACTCCCATCCCGAAGAACGTGAAGCCCGATCACAACAACGCCCCTCGCCTTCAGCTATCAAGCCTTCCGCCATGCGTGTCTCAGCTAGACTTGTATTTCTCGTGGGCACCATCGTGCATCGCGGCTCACGTCAATCTTGTCTCACCTCCTAGCAGCTCCCACAAACGGCCTAGCATCGTGCCTGTGTCGTGACCTTCCCGCCCACGCACATGCACATGATGCAGCTGGACCGTCGCGCGTGAGATCCACGCATCGTCCCCCGCCCCAAGTGGAACGGAAAGCTCGTCATGGGATGCCATCTGACCTTCCCCGGCTCGGCATGGGATGCGAGTGGCTGAGTGTCGAGCTCCGGCAGGCTCGTGTCTGAGATCCCACACCGGCGCATTCCTCGCTGGATCACGGCGTTGATCGACCCTGGAAACACGAGGGGGCAGGCACAGCACACCGCCGATGTCGGAAACACAGACACGAGAGCCTCACAAAGTCCGAAACAGCATGTTGACAAGGCAGTAGAACACTGGCTTCCATTGAGTGTGTGGACGGTTCAACCGATCCGAGGGGTAAATCATCAACAGACTGGTAAAGTACACTTTTTTTTTGGTGCGAAGACCCCGCTTCCTAGACTCCAAAATCCCCAATGGGAAAGAAACCGAAAGAAAAACAAGAAATAACAGACCGTTGTGAAAATTGAAAGAGAAAAAACCAGAAACGCAGACTGACTCCTGAACAGGAACCGAAAAATCAAATGGGTATAAGGTGCGCCGAACCCTGATGCTCTAGTAAGCCATGTCCGCGGCTACCTACACGATACCGATGCGTTTTGCCCAACGCCGCTGCGGGGAGAAGATCCGTCTCGCCCATGATGAGAAAAAAAAGAGAACCCACGCCGTTTGGAAGGCGATTCATTAAGGAGGGGGTATTGTTTTGGTGTGCCTGATTCCTTTCCGTGTCAGGGCTTTCTTGCGGTTTGGTGCCGTCATTACGGCGGTTGCTGAATATTCCGTTGTCGTTCAAGATGTTGTCGTTGTTGCATATCCCACCAATCCCCAAAAGGTCGTTAATGAAGAGAAAATTGAGGGGCATTCATCTTCACTCGTCCCGGCTGGGATCGTACTTGGTCCGGTCAATCATGTGCTCCCACGGCACCTCCGTCTTGTGGCCCTTCTTCATGCAGCTCTTGCAGACCGAAGAGTCGTAGTCGACCTGCGTCACGACGACCTTGCAACGCTTCTGCGTCTGGCTGTAGCGGTAGCACCACTCGGAGGCGCCCGTGAAGTGGTGCCCGCAGGCGTAGTTGCGGCGGTACCACTCGCACATGTTGGCTTGGAGCTGATTTGGAGGGCGGGTTGGCGCGGGCTTGCGAGAAAACCTGGGTTTTGATACCGCACGAGGGAGGGGCCGCTAGACGAAATAATGGAGACGGCGGATGGCGGGATAAACGGGTTTGTTTGCTATGGGGTTTCCTGTCAGCAACAGACTCCCAACCCAACGTCGGGCTTGTCAGACGTACAGCAACAGGTGCGTCGTTGAGTGTGATTGTGTGTGTGAAGTCGATTTAGACTGAGAAAAGATGGGGACTTGGCATGACAACTCGGTCAAGGCAAGTGCAAGGGGCGACAGATACCGGTGAGAGGAGTAGCCTGTCAGGAGACGTCCGACGTCCCGAGGTGCTGGTTCGACGAGCGGGTATATGTAAGATCTTAAGCCCAAGTGGCTGCAGCACCGACCTTCTTTTTACGATGGGGACACTTGCGAGCGAGAGCCGGCGACATGGGGGATGGGTAGTGTAGTGCCGTGTGAGAGATGATCCCCACGCACGTTTCTATCCCTTCCCTCTCTCATCCCACCCCCGGCTGAGTCTCGATGCGCCCGCCAAGGTGTTTCCCAGATAGAAAGACCGGGGGGTGTGTAGGGGAAGGGGGGGTGGAGGGTAGGATGTGGACTTTGGGCATATCCGGAATGGTTTCTTTTGGAAAGGTAAGATGTTGCGTTGTTTTTCCTTGTAATTTTGTGTGTGAATAACCGAACGGAACAGATTATCAAGGGAACAGAGGGTGGATGTTTTCGTGTGGAAGCCAGCCCTGTTTCAAGCCAAAAGAAAATGGGAATAATATTACCTATGTCATTTGGCGGTGGGCGGGAGAGAAAAGACGAAGAAAAAACGAAAGTCTGCCAAAAGAAATCAGCGTTGCCCTGGCCCAGGCTCGTCTTCGAGCGCGGTCTCGCTCATTCGTGGCCGCCGTCTATCGTTTGGTCACCGAGAGACGACGGGGGGCTGGAATGGAGAATGGAACAGCAGAAAGCAGAGGCCGAGTCAGAAGTACCCTCTTCTTTCTCGACCACCCCGACTCTAGGCGGCCCCTTTGCTAAGTGGCTTTCGGGGGGAAAAGAAAGAATGTTTGCTGCTCACGAGTGACGCTTGGAGGGGAAGGGGGATACGATGAGCATTTTGAACCCCAAGCCGGGACCAGTCTTGTTGGCCGAGGCCGTCGTCCACCCCTGCACGCAACTCGGCGCTATGCTTCCTCGGAAGACGGACATCCCAGCGAATATCAGACCAGCGATGACAGTGCGGTGCGGTGTGTGGTCGCGCGACGGGTTACCAATCAATCGATCAATCAATCCAGTCTGAGGAAATCAGCCGGTTGTTGTTCTGCCTGCATGGTAATATTCCCGAAGATAGGATGCTGCTCCTCCAAGGTCTAGACAGATCGGACTGCGAGATGAAGGGATGAGGGGCAGTTTCGCTTCGACTAGCCAGACGGAGGTTGCCATTTGATGGCCCTCCATCTCACTGAGTCGGAGACACACACACACACACAGTGAGAGAGACAGAGAGAGAGGTGCAGCAAGAGACGGGCGAGCAGCAGCAGAATGCACTGCGGGAAATCCTGGCGTGGCGCTGTCATGCGTCGTGCGTTCTGAGATGTGATAGCGCCATTGCGTCCGCAGATGGGGTTCCGCGCGATTGGGGCGGGCGATCGCCCGGGTATGCCACCCCGGTCTCTTCTCTGACTTCGAACCCGGGATGGCAGCTCGAGCAGACAGGCTAAGAAGAAGCCTGGGAGAGTGATATTGGCACAAATTGTCGCTTTCTCTCTACCTTTTTTTTTTTATTCTCGCAAATGGGTGTCCACAGAGACGGGGCGGAAAAAGAAAGCATTCCGTGGCAACGATAGCATGAAGCGAGGGGACGACACCACCACCACCAGGCTCCTTGCTCTCTCCGATTTTTCGTTTTTCCTGGCTCTCTGTCTGTCTGGTTCCTCGGCTCTTGCTACAAAGTCTTCAAGACACGCATGCCACCCTCCTTCATCATTATGACGGCTCAGAAAAATAAAGAATAAAGCCACCCAGATGAGGGACTGCATCATTGCGGGCCCCGCCAGAGGAACCAGGGCCTCGCTGCCAAGGCGAGTGAGACATCATGGGGAAGCAAGGCATGCAGAGCCAGAGCTGGGGTAACGAGAATAGCCATAGGGAGAAGCAAAAAGAGGCCCCTATAAATGAACAATTGACTTGGGCTTCCCGATCCTTGCATGGGAAAGCATGGGTTCCGTCCCTCCGACCTTAGCCTCGCCCATCCGCCGCCGTCCGTCCTCTCCCTTTGGATCAAAGACAACAAACCACATCCAGCTTCTCCTCTCGTGTCAAGGATTTGCTCCTCCCGTCGCGCTTCCGCTGCAAGGCCAGCCTTAGTCCGCAGCCAG